GTTGAGATGACTTGGATGGGAAACAAATCACAATAGTGTGCATTGCATTGGCAATGCACACTGATTAAAACTTATTTAATATCAAATCCCAACAAATCACTGTAACCCTCAGGGATAAATGTTATGATTTATGTAGTTTTCCTCTTTGCAGCAGTGCAGTCAGACTTTTATTTTTTGTATTTCTCTGTCACCTGCTGACCCACACAGGGAGACACACAACAGACACTAATCAGTGTGCACGTCAACAAAAAATCTCCTCCAACTTCATATTGTCACTCAATTACCTTAATTACAAACACCTGCTGATGTGACAGACACAAGCTGGTATAGAAAATACATTTGAACTTGGTCAAAGTTCATTCTGACAGTCCAATGCTGCAGGCAAAGCCATGCTACATGGCAATGCACACTTGTTTTTACATYGTAAAAACCCATGTCTAGTGTTTGGGCCCATTTGTTGAAGAGAGAAAAACACACAAATGTGAAATAATGAAGAAAAAAGACTAAAAATCAGCCAATGAAAATCAGTCCTTCATTTTCAAATTCGTTTCAAAAACTTATTTATAATTCATTTATGAATGGACACTTCCTGGTATCTGAGGCAGGAAACATAGCATTATATGGTGTTTTTGGGGTGGTAATTATGCTAATCTCCTCTCCTTGTACACGAGCAGCTGATACACATTCATCAGTTTACGCAGCTCATTTACACACTTCCTGAAGATAAAAGAGTTTGTTGAATCTGACTGATGTTCGTACGAACCCTTCATACGAAAAAAAGTACGAGAAATTTAAGAGAAGAATACGAACATGTTCTTGCATGAGGCCCATTGTGTCAGAGGTGTTGTGGTTTGTCAATATGCAGTTAGAGAAATTCCAGTCAGATTTTTTTATGATTCAGTGTCCTCCTCTTTTGTCTGAAGTCCACTTAGTCCCAGATTGATGGTGTGGTTTGACACCTATGACCTTGGAGTTCACCTTTAATCTCTGTGGAAGTTGTTCTGGACTCTTTGGTGGACCGTTCGTATATTATTTGTCTCTTTAGTTGTCCTCTTGTGGACACATCCAGGGAGGTTGTCTCCAGTCCTGTGGACATTCTGAATAATCTGAGCGGCTGTGGTGACAGGAACATCAAGCTCATACTAGAAGCTGCGTTTCCATTGACCATGAAAACGCTCAAATTAGAATTTCAAAAATAAATTTGCTCAATGGAAACATGTCAGTTTCGAAAAAAATAAAACGTTTTCCGACAAAATGTTTTTGCGCTAGGATGAGGTGGTTTTTCGGTCGTATCGAAATTTGTGTTTTTCGCAAACTGCAATGGAAACACTTTTTTCACATCACGGGAGTCACGTGATCAACAACCGGCTGTTTTTACTGGTGAAAAAGACGATGACGAAGAAGGTAACAGGAAGTAGAAGTAGTAGTAATATCACAGAAGTAGTATTAAAAAATAGTAAACTCACCGACTACAACTTCCTAAAAACACAGCATACGTAGCCGCTCCCAAGTAGGGACTTGTCTCTGGAAAGCCTCGATAAAAGACGCCGACGTCTCCTCTGATGATGAGCGCTAGTGTCGTGGTAGCAACAYGCTATGTGTTTACATCCATCGCTGCCATGTTTGTAATGACTTATCATGAGAACGAACGTATTCACGTGACTTTAATAACATTTCTTACTCAATGGAAACACAGCAGTTGCGAAACTGTTTTTTCGACTTTAACAGAATATCGACAAAGTTTTGCGCACATTTGCAATGGAAACGCAGCTAGAGATACTCTGTCCTCAGCTTCCTGAGTCTCACATGTCCCTGTGGACAGATCTTCAGTCTTCTCTTGGACAAACATCCATCAAATCAAATATTTTTAGAATATTTTGAACATGAAACAGTTTATTTCTGCAACATTTTTTATTACTTTGACCAGTTTCAAGTTATTACAGTGATGTTTGTAGTGTTTTTTTAAGCAAAAGCTACAACAAATATGTAATTATGTTCATTTCTTTCTGTTGTTTTAAGCTCGTTCATTTCAGCACTTTGTAACAGATGTAGAAGCAACAGCCTCTCCCTTGGTTTCTGGCTGTCTGAGCCGTTCTCTGAACATTTTGCTGTAGAAGCAACATTTTTCATCCACCTTCCACCACTTTGTTGCACACATGCAGAACCGTTTTCCACAACTTTCATGTAGCTCCAGGAATCCGACGTGTAAATTTGTTCATAATGGGATCTTCTGGCATCAGACGTGTGGGCTGATCCAGGCTCAAACTCCAAGAAGTGAAATCAGGCAGGGCACGAATGTGATGGGAGAAATTGTCGAGGAATTGGTTGTGGGTTCGTGTTTCCATCCAGTCGTAGCGTGAATTTTTATCGAACTTTTCAAAATTTGCAAAAAAATTAAATAAATAAAAATTCAAAACTAGACTGTTTCCATCTAGTTTCCCTCTCGACTGTTTGCGAATAAACGAGGCTACGCAACGCGCGATTACGTCAGACGAGGCTACGCAACGCGTGATTATGTCAGACGAGGCTATGCAACGCGTTATTATGTAACGCGTGATTACGTCAGACGAGGCTACGCAACGCGTGATTATGTCAGACGAGGCTACGCAACGCGCGGTTACGTCAGACGAGGCTACGCAACGCGCGGTTACGTCAGACGAGGCTACGCAACGCGCAGTTACATCAGACGAGGCTACGCAACGCGCAGTTAAGTCAGACGAGGCTACGCAACGCACAGTTAAGTCAGACGAGGCTACGCAACGCGCGATTACGTCAGACGAGTCTACGCAACACGCGATTACGTCAGACAAGTCTACGCAACACGCGATTATATCAGACGAGGCTACGCAACGCTCGGTTACGTCAGACGAGGCTACGCAACGCGCAGTTACGTCAGACGAGGCTACGCAACGCGCAGTTACGTCAGACGAGGCTACGCAACGCGCAGTTATGTCAGACGAGGCTACGCA